TGATACCTCGCTGGCAGGGTTGATAATTCTGGTATTCGATTGCTGAAGAGTCTTGGCACTCGAGTCAAACCTGTTTTTCCGCGGTAAATAGGAACCGGATAAAAAAAGAACGTACAGGAAAATAATATTTAGAAAGTTTATAAATAGCTAAAGTGTCGAGGACAATTTTTTTTTATACCGTAGAGAGAGGGATCGTCGCTTCGTTCTCCTTCCTTTATTAACGATTGATCGCAGTTGTAATCTCGCATTCGTTAAATTCAAATGTATAATATCACATTACTTTCACATACCGTGTAAACAAAGAATCGCACAGAACATATTGCATAAAACAAGAGCGCACAGAAACAGGTTTCACTGTATCTCCACTCGCCTGATCCTGAAAAGGTAAAGGAGGCTCGTAGTGCCAAATTCTTGGACCTCAGGGTCTGTAGCTGTGTTTTTTGAAGCTACAGTACGGGCTTAGCAACCCCGAGGTACTCGAGCTACAGGGGGGCCCCATAGAGATGAGAAGTTATGAAATATAATGTTGAAGTAGCCAGCCCCAGTTAAGAATGATTTAAAACATAGTTTAAGTAAGAAGCGTAATTAAGAAGTTGTTCATTGTAATAACAGTAGGAATTAATTTAGCTTCCACTTAACTTATTTACAATTTATTTCTATATTTACATACATGAGAATATAATTTAAATTTTCAATGTTAATAAACGATGTTAAACCGATAGGATGACATTTGAATTAATAACTTTTTGTTTTAAACGACAACGGGTCTAACACGAATATAGCATTTTAAATTTATACGAACAGAACATGCCTTTATGCCTGCATAACCACGTGAAAGTGGTTTATTAGTTAATTAAACATCAATCGTGGTTTTTACGCCCTGCTTGAAATCAGCTGATCATTCTCTTCTGCCTGAAAGTTCATGTGCGTAGTCACTATACTTAAGTATTCGGTGGATTTGAGTACTTAGAGTACTCTGAGTACCGTGAGTATCCAGTGAGTAGGTTCGAATCCTTCCTGTATATTTGTCGGCGTCCTCGGGTACCCAAGTTATCTCGTACCGGATCATACTCGCATTCAGGCTCAGAAATGGCCTTCCAATCCTTTTACCCCGCGATGATCGAGGCTAGCGTTCAATGGAGGACTCGTCCGACGCGAGGAATCACCCGGAACGATTTCCTGGATCATAGCGGTTTCGAGACGGCGCGCGTTAGAAAGAAGCTGAAGGATCATTGGAGAATTTACGAGTACCGACAGAAAATGAAATTGTGCCAGCGGTTAGGTGTGCTCGCCGGCTCGGAAACCACGTTGTAATAAAAGGTACAATAAAACGGACGCGATCTTCAGAAATCTCGTGGCCACGTAGCACACTCTTCGCCCATCCAGCGATCCCAGGATACGTTCTTTCCGCGAAAAATTTCCCGATTCCGCTCGAATATAATGTAATCGACAGTGAAATACGTGTCCCCACTCGCGACACGCCCCCGAGGTTTCAACGCGGCACGGATAATTGAAAAGTTTCCACGGGAACCCGCTTCTTCTTGTTTGACGACGATTTCGGATAGAGAGCTTTAATCGATATTTATTTAAGTTTTCTCCACGCGATCGACGAACGATTTTAAACGGCGATTATCCCAGAGTCCCATCGCTCCTTGAGCCCTCGGAGTATTCGAAGTTGGTCGCGCGTGGCGATCCTTAGGCCCCCTTCACATTCTGCGATTTTAACTCACGTTATAGAGACATTGGGAATATTGTTAAAGTCATGTGGTAGAAATAAAATCGTTTTAAATATTGGGAAACGAACCTTTGATGAACTTTTACTTTTCTATCATTTATTGTCTCATTTTCTTATACGTTTCTATTTGCACACCCCCAGTTTCAAAAGCAAGCAATTTTAAACTCACGTTGTTATTGGGAATATTGTTAAAGTCAAATAATAGAAATAAGAAGGATCGTCTTAAATATTGCGGAATATTGTATACATTTCTATTTCTACATCCCCAGTTTTAAAAGCAATCAACTTTAACACACTTACTATCTGGACCGATCCCGATAAAACTAATTTTCCCGGTTTGTCGAGTGGAAAAGAAAAAAGGAGGCGTTGGATCGGACGCGATATGTGGTATAAAAGAGTTCGTACGCGGTATACTCGCGTTCGCACTTTCGTGCTCGTTTATTTGCAGTAAAAGACTCTTATATCTAACGCGAGTTGGTGTTATAAGTGTTCAAGTCGATAATCTGATAATTCCGTGGATTGAGGGTCGCGGGATCGATGTCTGTTTCACAAGGGAATTTTGTAACTGACACCGTTTAATGTTTACTGATGTTTCGCGTCAATAGACTTTCGAGAACTCTGCAAACGATACGCGTTGCGAGACGAAGAGTCGTGTAACAGAAATTCGGCACCTACTCTTGAAAATAACCAACGTGTAATATATCCCATACACGATACGATATATTGTGCAACTCCGTCGTACGATGAGTTGTACAACAGATTGTTTAACATCCGAACTTGGATAAATACCTTAACATTAAAAATCGTTTTATAACACCAGAGAGATTCATTTAGTCAAAACGCAAAGAATTCCAGAAAATACCCCCCGTTTTGTCAGCGTAAGCTGGATGATCTCTCGTGAACACATTCTTCCTAGTGCTAACAAATTCGAACATCCGCTTAAAAGCTTGCGACCCAACAGAAGCGCGATTGCAATCGGAAATCGAATTCTCGTCTGCAGATTCCGCGCATTTGCATTGACTCACAATTCGATCACAGTCGCATTTTCTGAATTTCGTGTTCAAGGATCACCACCCTCTTTGTCCGCTCCTTTCAATTATTTTTGCAACCAAGTTTCGCCCTCGGTGTCTCTTGACTCTTGAACGGATTAGCATTTTTCGCGAAAAAACGCGGGCGCCGCGTCTATTAGTTCGCGAAAGTTGAATGTCCCTGACGTAATACCCGCTTATCTTCGTAACTTTTTCACGAGCTGAAGCTGCGACCGTTTAAATACCAGGCCTGTTTAAAATTCTTCGCCGCGTCGCGATAGATTCGTTTTTTTTTTTAAAAGGCGAAGCTAAGACGAATTTAGTTAAGCAAATTGCTTAATTCTACCTGAGAACTGGATAGGAACTTGGACAAATTTCTTTGGGAAAATTTTGTTGGATTCGAGCACGATTCGATGGAAATTTCGATTCACGTACTTTCGTCGATAAGAGTCGCGACACTTAACGAAGATTGTAGCTCTTCTTAGAGGGGCGGTCAATTATTAAACGGAGTGCACTTATATTAATTTAACGAGGTACAAATGTCCAAGGAATAATTATTCTCCAAGTTATTACTAGACTGCGGATCTTTATGTATTTATAGAAAATTTGAATGTGCACCTACGAAATGCAAACAGTATACAAGAATATAGAAAAGATTGAAAGTAAAGTTCATGTTATAATATTTGCAGAATAAAATACATTTCTATTTAGATCCAGTTTGTGTAGGTTCTTTTGCAAAGATTTTATTTTGCATAATTTTTGTTCGTCTGGACATCTGTCAACTGTAGATGTTTATAATTGCTACACTGTATTAATTTCATAATGGGCCATGCTCGTATATATTGAAATAAATAAATAAATAAATAAAGATCCGCAGTCTGGTTATTACATCCAGTAATAGGAATCTGATTCTGAATCCTATAAAATTTCCCGGAGGAAATTCCTCGAGAAAATAACAATTGTTTTTATTGAACGCATTACGTATCGGAAGATTAAACACGTAGGGGTACGAAAGAAATCGCTGTTCAGTGATTATTTATTGGCTGACCAATAGGAAGCAAAGAAAACTCGGTTTCCAAGGGGGGAGAGCTTTGAAGTTGTCCACTTACTGGCGATTTCGCCATATCAGTCGTGAAATGTCGAGGTTTCCCCTGACTCCGATGCGGGTCACTGGTCGTTCGGTTCGTATGGACGGAGCTTAATGCTCCCCTTTGTATTCCGGCGACCGCTTTCCACAGCTTGGGAAATGCATGAATGAAGTTCTCATCAGGGAAGTTAAACGTCGCGTTAAAAAGGTTCCGAAAGTAAACACGAAAAGGGAGGGAAGATTGTTCGAGCTCCGATGGAAGCGGTCGACCGAGTCGGTTTCAAAGCGGAAATCGACACAGACGTGTAGGTAAGCGATAAACACCGCACCGTGGACAGATCGTACAGTTCCAGGGAAAACCGAGCTTTATCTCATTAGATCCAATTATGTTTGTTCTCGCCCAACGATGATTTCTTTCAATCGCGACGACAATTGGTACGCCTTGAGAAACGAAGGGGATGAAACGAAGGGGATGAAAGGCCACAAGGTTTAAAAATGCAAAAATTCTGGTTAGGTCTGGGTTAGGTGAAATAATAAGAATGATTTCGACAAATTCGATTAGGGAATTCGATTTCCTGGTAAGTTTGATTAACCTCGACTAGTTCGATCAAATTGTAATGCGTGTAATTAAATGTCGTGTTTGATTATTCAATGGAAAGTGTCTCATTATTAGTTTGACATCATCCTAGATATACTTATGCACACATACGGTCCGTTTCATAAGTATTCGTACCTTCTATGTATGTTCATTGAAGAAGTCCGTTTAAATTAAATGAAATTTTTCCTTATAAATACTATATACATGCGTATAGTTTACTCGTGCAAATTTATCATTTAATTTAGACAAATTTCAATAGACACACAGGGTACGAATACTTATGTAACTGACTGTATATATTTAGTCCTCCTAGGATCTCAACATTTTTGAAAAAGAAACCTTATTTATGCTTCCCCCAGAAATTTGTCCAAAGCATAAACAAATGGTCTTGTACACTTGAACTGTGCACTTTAGTGGCCAAGTTCCCAGGCTTTCTATTTCAAGAAAGTGCAGAGATCGAAATATTTCTCCGTAATTAGACAGTTCCCCGAATGAACCGAGCGTCGGAGGAGATAAGCCAGAGTTTAACATAGCTTGGCGTAATTGTTGCAGGACCTGATGACGAAGAGCAAGCAGAGGAATTGGCGGCGTTTGCTGGCTGGCGGTTTGGTCGTCGTTGTGGTGCTCGGCTTGGTCGTCGCGGCGGCGATTCTTTTAACCGGAAGCCCGGAAGCACCGGATCCCTCCGTGCCAGGCGCACCTGCTGGTATTTCCCTTGAAGAATGGCTCAGGGGCTCGTTATCTCCTAAGAGCTTCAACGGCACGTGGATCAGCGGTAAATATCTTATATTTTTCTCGCCGAGATAGAACCGGCCTCGAGTGGGCCACGTTCCGACGAAAAATAGCGGATCGACCGCGGACTGGTCGATCTCGAGATACGATCTCGTTCCGATCGAAATTCTTGGAACTTTTTTATCGACGAATTTTACTCGGATAAAAGCTAAGATGGAGATCTATGATCGCCGAGATTAGACGTACTTGTACTAGGAATGTTACAAACTAGAAGGTGATTATTTATTGTTTGACTTATACTGCGATCTGTAAAGAGGCCAGAGATCGATCAGTTTTGGGGGCAAAGTGTCCGAGGAATTCTCGTGCGCCTTAAATTGGGCTTGGAACATTTTTGCGACTTTTAGACAGTGTTTTGGAAATTTTCGAGGTTCTTTGGTAGTATTTTGGAAACTTTCGCATCTCTTAGACAATATTTTGAGAACTCCTGCACCTCTTATAAAATATCTTGAGAGCACTCGCGCCTCTTAGACAATATTATGAAAACTCTCGCGCCTCTTAGACGATGTTTTGGAAATTTTCGTGCCTCTTAGACAGTATTCAGAGAACTCTCGCACCTCTTACGCAATATTGTGAGAACTCTCGGATCTTTTAGACAATATTTGAAGAACTCTCGCGCCTTTTACACAGTATTCGAGAAACTCCCACCTTAATCTACGCGCCTCGTACTCTCCGCCCTAATGAATCGTCGCGTCTGTATCGTGGCTAAACAGTCCATGTACCAGGCCTCAACAGTTACGACGTCCATCTCTAGCAGACGCGCGTTGGTCATCCGAAGGTTCCCGAGGCTGAAATCCTGATTAATCGGGACGAAATCTTTATTGCGGTTGTCCGGCGCAGCGGTTTGCAATCGAGGGAATTTGACGTAGACAGTAATTAGCGAGCGAGGGATCATGGATCCGCGCGGATCGTCCCTTGCTGCGAGAGGTCCGGGCTATTGCCGCAAATTGAGGGTTTCGATGCCGGCTGTATCTAGCGGGTACACGTCCTGTGTACCGGATGGCACGACGTTAATTTCCCTCTGCTTATACGAGCTATCGATTTGCGCCATTACGTACGGCAAACATCATTTCCAACAATCATTGAATTACGCCTTGATGAGTGCCGCGGCGGTCGCGTCGGAATTAATTCCGTGTTTTTCCCTTCCAGCGGCCGTGTCGCGATCGAGATTAAAACGGCGCCGATGTCGATTGCCAACGGGTGGGGGAAAAAAAGGGTCGGCGGGTTCAAGGTTCGAGATTTTTCAAGTCGACGGGAAAATTGTTACCGACGCTTTGTTTGTCGCGGACAAAGGATGACGTTCCGTTGATGGGAAACAGACAGCACAAAGAAACGCAATTTTTCAACCGAGGGAAACTGAGAATCACTGTTTTGTGCCCGGGTCTCGTGGCTTTTAACGGAAATTTAATTTCCTTTAGCGAGGGGACAGATTCATTCCGATCTAGAAATTCTCGCGATCCACGAATCGACCGACAAAAGATTGCACGAGCGCGAGAATGCGCCAGATTTAGATACATAAAATTATTCAAAGCGGAACGTAGGGACGTTACTAAACCGAAAGTGAAGGATCGACGGAATCAAGGCGTGGCCACTGGAACATTCCGATATCTTCGACAAGGATAATCGCACGTCTGTTGTAAATGGACGTCGAAACCGTTCAAGCCCGGAACATGGTCTGTTTGGCTGCGATACGGACGTGACATCATCCCCATTTCCGAGATTTGGAATTTCTGTGCTGTTTCGCCTTGACACCCATTTCGAAATGGGTATTTAATGGTAGCGAAACTCCAGGTGATACCGTTAGGGGCTTTCTAGCACATGTAAGCTTTCCGCGCAGCCACGAGGAACTTCGTCCAGGGTTCGATAATGCGCTTGCATTGACGCGCCCTTTGCGGTTATCGCGCGTTCAAGGTTCTCGTGACCAATTGCCAGGCTGATCTTTTTCGAAACCAATCGGACGAATATCGTTTATGTTTATTAGACGTCGTTAGAAGTCCTCACTAATGAAGAAATTATACGGTACATCAAGGAAACAAGATATACTACTCAATTAACGTAAGATCAATCGAGGGAGTATCGCTTATGATAATTAGATGTCTTTGAACTCGTCAGTTGTTAAGAAATTATACGTTAGGAAAACTGGGAGAAGTATTATTCAATGAACACAAGAATGAAGAAGAGGGTACTTAATTAGAATGAAACAAAGAATATTTAATAGCCAACTAGAATATTTCTTTCCAGTCTTTTGGTAGTTTGAAAATAACGAGAATTTCTCAAATACTGTTTAACCCTTTCAGACCTGGCGTCCACGATTGAGGCACGATTGAGGACGTATTGAGCACGTTGGCTGCCATGCTAATACTCTTAAAAATGTCTACTGTGATTAAATTTGATTTACTGACTATTTGAAGCTACACAATCGAACATTTATTGCGGTATTTATTTTTGTAACTTCGCCGAAATTCGAGTATTTCATATAAATTCATTTTCTGTAACATTTAAGATTCAAAATTAATTCAGTGAAAAGCACTGTCATTCATACGTGGGTGAAGGAAGACCAGTTTTCCTAGAAAACTACACTATTAGAATTTCTTTTTTTATTCTTCTCTTTTCAGTTACATACGAGAAAAAAAAGATAATTTAGGTCTGTAAGGGTTAAAAAGCGCGTAAATTCACCAAGCCCTGTATAAGCATCGATTTTTGCATCTGCTCCATTTTAAATGTAGCAAATCTGATTATACTCGTTCATAACCGGTGACCCCAAAAACCGCACTCCAAGTTTTCGAAAGTTTGCTAGGGTGAAATAAATCGCGCAACAAAGTGCCAAATGTTAACAGGACTGGCTCGGTTTTTGGCATCCCTGCTAGACCATGTCAGGCCAAAAGCCAGGTGGCTCGCGCAGCCAAATAGTCTAGAAACGTTGTCCCAAGATTCCACCATGCGAGGGACATTTAACAATTTTTCAATCCCGATCTACTCCCGGATTAGTAATCTCGATTTATCGTCGCGCCGTTCGTCTCGACCGCAATCCCGGAACCGTGAAAGGAGTCCAGGCCCTTGAACGCTCTCAGAAACCGTGCGGAACTATTCGAACATTTCCGGTAACTTCACTTTCTCCGCTCCCTGGAGCCGCGTTTGTTCGTGAAAACAAAGATGCCATTTGCCGAATTAATTTCGTCTGGCGGCGCCGCGAACTTGGAAGCTTTTCCCTTTGAATCTCGAGACGATTGTACTCGGAGGTACCGCGGGGGCGGCATCAATTTCTAAACTGTTTATCCGCGGACCCGACCCTGAAATATAAAATACGGGAAGCGCCCGAGGAGAGCGCACTTTGCGGAACACGGATTTACGTAAGTGGTTATACGGGCGAACGGGAAATAAAAACGGAAACGAAAGCTGTTGTTCTTCTTTCAACGCTTCCTTTGGCTAGCAGCAAGCATCGTGTTTAAGATACTCGTGTCAGCAGCAGAGCTATCCCAGTATCGATGTTCGAATGTTGGAAGGGACAATTCGTATGCTTGCTAAAGTATACTTTAATTAACGTTTAACAATTATAATCACGGATATAATCGTTAATAATAATTGAAGCTTCCGATTTGTAATCGTTGATCGCGACACGCTGCAGTTAGAATTGTCACCTGCAAAAGTAATTGCAACCCACCGAAAACGATTACGAAATATAAATTGAATCGGTTGATGGCCCTCTGGTGGCATAGGAATCTCCTCCGCCATTTTGGTGCACCATGAATATTCTTTAACCTCGTTAGTCCGGACAAGCTTCTAATTAAGCTACATTCGAACAGTGGTAATAAAATTCGCCTGCTAAATCGCTAATACAAATCGGTTCACAAGCACGAAGTCCTAGAGAACGATTACGAAATATATCGGATCGGATGGCCCTTTGGTGGCGTAGGAATCTCTTCCGCCATTTTGGTGCACCATGAATATTCTTTAACCTCGTTAGTCCGGACAAGCTTCTAATTAAGCTACATTCGAACAGTAGTAATAAAATTCGCTTGCTAATACGAATCGGTTAGTAAGTATAAAGTCCTAGAGAACGATTACGAAATACATCGAATCGGTTGATGGCCCTCTAGTGGCACGCGCAGGAATCTTACCCGCCATTTTGGTGCACCATGAATATTCTTTAACCTCGTTAGTCCGGACAAGCTTCTAATTAAGCTACATTCGAACAGTAGTAATAAAATTCGCTTGCTAATTCGAATCGGTTCGTAAGCACGAAGTCCTAGACCAGCTGAAACGAGGAAAGTTTCGTTGAGGGTTGCATAATCGGTCTGCAAAGGTTGGTGCAACCCCACGTAGTTGCAGTTGCGACTATCACGTGATGTGGTCCGCATGCCACCACGTAACAAGTGATACGAATCGTTCCGGACAGAATTTTCTGCTTGGAACGGAGACGAGCACAGAGGACCAGCTCTTGGCAAGTTGCCTGGGGCTCGAGAGGGAATCATGACGAGGCACTGGGGCCATCAGCTATTGGCCAAAGGGAGCCTGATCATTTTAGAGGGAAGGGACTTCTTCTTGGAAGTTAAGTGTCAGCTGAAGATATTTTCTCGGTTTCTTTTTTACGGGGCAACTCCCTTATCAGATTACTCACAGACAGCCCAGGTCTTCGTAGCTTCGGAGCGACTCGATTAGACATCATTGGCGCGCTGCTTTGCGAGCTTCGACGATCCAGCTGTGGCTCTCTATTTTCCCATAAAGCAGCCAAGTATTATTATTATTAAAATAATGATGCATCTTTTCTTTGCACGAGCATCTCTGCTAACGCAATTGCGATTTCTGTGAAGCTACTTCTCTGAAACTTTTATTTTTTACTTTATATTCATCGAATTCTTTTTCTTTTCATTTTCAATTACTTTACATCTACCCTTGACCTTCTTTCCTGTGCTCGTCTTTTCCTCCTTCACATCCTCCTTATTTATCTTCGTCGAATTATTCCATTCATCTTCCACTCCTAAATTT